CGTTGTTCCGAATCGAACCGCGCCTCGCGGTCTCACATCGTGCCTCAAAATCTTCGCCCAGAGCCATAAAGGGGTTCTTGGTTCAAGCAAACTCCCCAAGAAAAAAAAGGGCAACTGGAGATCTGGAACTCTGTGGCGTCCTTTTGATTTCCCTCTCACACAGTGGTATGGAAACCACCAACGACCCCAAAAAGTGTCTGATCCCACCAGGGGCGATCGAAAGCCACTTCCAGGCATTTGAGACGTGAAGGAAAACGCCCACGACGTGGGCCATGGGAACATTGGAGCTCGTTTCAACCCGGGAACTGTGCATCTCCTTCGCGTCTGCCCGAGATCGCGAGATGTTGTCGTTTTTTTTTTTTTTTTTTTTTTTTTTTTTTTTTTTTTTTTTTTTTCGCCGCGCCGCTGCGAAGTCTCTCTCGTCCAGTTGTACTGCCAGAGGGAGTTCCGGTACACCGTGTTGCCTGGCAGGGCAACGGCTGCACCTCATGAAGCTTGGTTGGGGGCTGAAAGGGCATCGCCTCGTGAAGAAAAAAAAACATGGCTTTGCGCAACCCGGCCAAATGGGTATCTCTAGTCTAATTTGCTTCAAATCAAATGGGTTCGAACAAATGGGTTCTACCATACAAGTCTACACGCATGATTGTCCTCTGGTAGCGATCGGAACCCCTTCGTTACACCCCCTCTGGTACGATCCGATCGGAACCCCTTCGTTGCACCCCGGCAAAGGGGTCTTTGGCGGATCAGCGTGACCTTGGTTTTCACCTTGGTTGGGTCCCAACAGGGTAAAAACACATTGTTTGGTTCCCACATGGTTTCCCACATGGTTGGGTCCCTACAGCACAAGGCTGATTCTTCCCTGCAGTTCCCTTTTTTTCAAACACGTGTTTGGGCTGTCCCCTTGCATCTGTCCTCCTCTGCTCATCTGTCCTCCTCTGCTCTGCAACTTAGAATGGCCCTAAGTTGGTAACCCTTGTTGGGATTGTTTCAAAGGGAAACCGACAAGGAAGCCACCGTTTCAAGGTTCCGCTTGGTTTCGCCACATTTTTAGGGGGACCTTCGAGGGGATGCCAGGAACGTCGAGAGGAGCATCCAGAGCGAGCGCCGAGCTGGACGGCTCTATCCAAATGAGTGAAAAGTGATCCCCAGACTTCCCGCTACGCCCCAAGAGGGCCAGCACTGTATTGGCCAGAAGGTCGAAACGTGATGATCTCAATCACGCAGAGAACTGGATGCGAACACCGTGGTCGGTACACCTGGACGGGTGTTGCCGTTAGCACAAGCACCCGCACAAAAGCCATCCTACGGCCCACAGTATCGGCTAGCAACAACTTGATCTACAAGGACACCTATCTTGAGGCACTTCCAATCAACGTTGGATTCGGAAGCGCTTCCGAGGCTCCGTTTCAACCCTCTTCGTTGGAACCGTAAGACTTCGCTGAGGAGAGAGGTGCTAGGCTTGCAGTCTACAGCTGGGAACTTGACTTCGAATCCGCGTAAGCGGAAACCCACATGTAAGCCTTGCCGGCTGGTTCCTGAAATGGCGCCGAGCACCACAAGTGCCTGCCTCCTAAAACCACATCCATGTTGGGCGTCAGTGAAGCCACCCCCACAAACACTCCAGCATTCCCTGAAAATTGGTGGCTGCCGGAGTTGGGACATACTTCAACATGAAAGTGCACAGACCCTCTCCAGACGACTGCGAGCCCGCACCTTGCTCAGTGCCCCAAGTGATCACCGGCATGCCTGGCGAAAAACCGAAATGGGTCCAGTGGGTCAAGAGCCCATCTTGGATAGGGTTCGTTCTCTACAAGGACATGGTCCCCCCCCCCCCGGTGTACATGTCTGAATTTTCCCACATCCTTGCCCTCTTTCCAAAAAATGGACACGAGAACTTGGAAGACTACCATCCTTTGAACAAAGACCCCTGGTCCGAAAGTTGGAAAGAGCAACTACTTGTTTTCACAAAGGACATCGCAAAAATTAGGGTTCCGTACCTGGCTGGTATGGTTGGAAATTTGGTGAGCCCTGCCAAATCAGCCATTGATAAGTCAGGAGATGTTGACCGAATCTCATATCTGGCCGGCGCCAAGTCACTCATCCACTTGCTGCTCACTTGCCCGGCCGAAGAGGTGTTGCAAATCAAGCAACCGGTGCGCCCTTTCCCTCAGCCACAGGACCCGTCTCCAACCAACCCGAAAGTGCACCAACCCAGAGGTCCCTAAACCAAGAGGCCATGGGTCAAAATCCAAATCGGTCAGCCCCCAGTGAACATCAACCAATCCAACGACTAAAATCGGTAACCTAAAATGGGTGGTGAATTCACCAATCCCCACCAAAATGGGCTGCATTGGTTTTGACAACCACAGTCAAAGAAGCACCAACCAACCGCCAGACGGTGAAACAAAAGGCGGCTCGGCCTTTGGCGAGCATGAGCCACGCCAAAGAGTTGACCTGGCGGCTCTTGTCATCGATGCAGCCTCCTTGCCACGCAGGGACCGTGCATCAAAACCTGTTCCAGGCTTGCTTGGCTGTTGGTGGCTTGTGGAGAAACTTCTGTACAGCTGTTGGCTTTTGAAATTGAGCTTTGCTGGCTTTTTGCTGGGCTGGTTGTTGACAAACTTCGAGTTTCTGCTGGTTGACACAAAATGTGTCAGTTACATCCTGAGACCGCTGCCAATTACCACACAAAAAAAAAAAAAAAAAAAAAAAACATAACGCTTGTTTGACCCGCATCCCCAATCTTCCCCGGAAATATCTTACCGAATTCCCGCCTTCAGTTTCTGATTGGTTCCCTTTCTCTGACTGTGGATTCCCGGAAGCATCCAAGTAAGAAACATTGAGGGAATCACCTACCCCAAGTCTCACCCTAAGGGTCCTGATGGAATTTGGGGCCAACTCCGGGTGTGATATGGAGACCCCGGTGCTGCGTACCAAGACCCTTAGGGTAGCTACGCGCTCAATCCCAAATCGATCGATGTGAAGCGTGCAGGTTGCGCAACCTGTCCACTCGCGGGTTCAAAGTGACCGCAGCAACTGCTCAACGGGTTCAGCCAACCTTACAGTTTCAACACTTCAGCGTGCGTGAACGCCTGCTTCCTCAACAAAAATGTGTCTGGCTCTTTGAACATATCTGAGGCTCAAAACTCAACAGCTGGGGCTCCGCGGGTTCGAGTCGACTTGTTCATTTCCCAGGGCAAGCCATTTTGGACCCCGATGTTCCGATCTTTGAGCCGCCCGCCTGTCTCATCGAGGTTATGGTAGAGGCTAAAGAGCGGCGTGTCATCTTGGTTGTCCTCAGAAGCGCAAAGCCATTGGGTCGGAGGGCTCCAAAGGATACATGTTTTATGGTCCATCTATGTCCTTCATCGCTCTTCCAGAAGCTTTCCACTTAGAATGACGTTCTGGAAGCGTTCTTTATTGGGAAAGTGTGGGGGAAGTACTAGAACATGAAGGAAAATAGAAGGACATAATTGAAGGGAAATAAAAGGAAATAAAGGGACAGGAAGAGAAGTGAAGGAAAGTGAAGGGAAATGAAGGGAACTGAAGGGAACTGAGCGGAAATGAGTGAAGGGACATGAGGGGAAAGCAACGCTTAAGGGCTTAACATCTGAAAATCTAAGTGGCTTCACGTGTTAGAATCCTAATAGGTTAAAGTCTGAACATCTTAATGCCTCACCTTTGCCCCGCTAAGATCGCTTCCAACCTTTCCCCCCTGAGATCTGTCCCCCTTTCCATCCCTAAGATCTCTTACCGCCTTCCCCCCCCCCTAAGGTCTTTCCCCTAAGATCTTTTCCCCCCTTTCCCTCCCTAAGATATTTTTCCTTTATGCCCGTTTTTTCAGGGGGCAGAGGGGGTAAAAGATCTTTGGGGGGGGAAGGGGGGAAGGGGGGAACAGATCTTAGGGGGGGATCTCCCCCGCCCCCCCTTCCCCCCCCCAAGATCTCCTTCCCCCCTTTCCTCAAGATCTTATCCTCCTTAGATCGTTTCCACCTTTTTCCCCACTAAGATCTTTTCCCCTTCGCCCCTCCCCTCCCGGGGGCAAAGGGGGAAGAAGATCTTGAAGAAAAAGGGGGGAAGATCTTACTGGGGGGAAGGGGAATAGATCTTAGGGGAAACGGGCCTGTAATGTCGGCGATCTGAGCCGGAGGCGTTAAAATAGAGTAAAGGGCAATCTGAATCTATACAAACAGCCAGGTTTGGTATCAGGATGTAGCGGATTGCGCCTGTTCAGCGGGCCTTCCAGCGACCCCAAAATAAAGGAGCAAATGAGCGAGGGACAGAACCAAGATTTTCCCTCAGAGGCGCCCACGGTCAGGGGACCCGTTTAACGGCTTCTTATCAACATGATAAACAAGTTCCGATTGCACCAAAGGATAATGTGGCTGTGAATCTTGATGGCGACCCTTTGGACATCAAAATTCGGCGGGGATTCATGTTCACCAACGGCTTTCGAGGTCTATCAAAAGTTGTAGCCATGGCAGCATCCCAGAGGACCACATTTGTTAGCATTCACTGGGTGGGTCAGCAACACCGGATTCCTTCGCCCGAAACTGGCTGAGTGGATGGCCCAAAAAAAGTCCAAACTTTTTGTTTACCACTAGAATGGTCTTCCCCAAAAGTTTAAAAGTTCATGAACTCAGGAAGTGAGAGCAATAGGCAATGTGCTCTTTTTTTCTTCATGGTTCCCTTTCGGGGGGCTTTCAGCATCACCTCTTGGGGCTCATCGCCTTTGGGGGCTGAAGCCGCAGGCTGCTCCCATTCAACGTGGATTTTTTTAAGGTCGCAACCCTGCCAAACAGCAAAACTCCCAAAACCAAACAATCCCTGCGATAAGATCTAAAATTCACCTAGCTTGGTACCTCCTTGGACCCCTTCGCTACAAATTCTCTTAAGAAGGCAAACGTGGACTTCTTCCAGTCGGCGCGTCCTTTCCAGCCACCACGTGAACACCCCCAAACTTTGAAAAACATGGCCCAGCATCCATCATGTTCATCAGCAGGTCCGTGTTGGTGTAGAGCCCGCTCTTCTGCTGCTTGTTCGTGAAGTCAGACAAATACGTCAGGTCGAACTGGGTAACCTGGGTTGGAAACTCTGGGCAGGGGGCTGCTAGTTGGGTTCCCTTTTTGGGGCGGGCTTGCACAGGAAGCCGTAAAGAAACCATCGGTTTTGACACATACTCAAAGTAACATCTTGAAAAACTCCCAGGTGGAAGTGTGGAATTCCAAAACCCTACCTAAAGAGCTGCTCCGGACCACCGGGAGCTTGCGGCTTCTCCAGAAAACTCCCGCGGCTCAGACCCACAGAGCCGATTGCCAGAGGTGTTCGGGGAATTCCGACCTCGGGAAACCGGCTTGCGGCTTCCATGGGGCTGGTTCACCCAAGAGGGCCCCATGAGTGGAGCAACTGGCTCTTCGCAAGTGTCTCGTGGCCTGGGATCCGCGCAGTTCTCCCAATCTCGGCGTCGGCTGGGTCGCCCAGCTTCGGACGCACTGGCCGTGCGCCGGGCGCAGCTTCGAAGAGTTCTTCTTCACGCGTCTGGCTTCTGACATGCGCTCCAACACTCGGTGGTGAGCGCGCTGCTGTCAAGCGTCCTTTGACCAACACTTTCCTCTCGCCGGGGCGAGCGGGCGCGCTGTTTTCCATGCGCCATGACGCCGGCTTGTGGCCGCACTGCCAACAACGCCTGCTGGAGGGTTGATACGCGTGACCAATGTCTTGGCAGAAGCTAAGCTTCCCTGAAACGATATAGCCGCCGAAATTCCGCTTTCTTCTACTTGGCAATAGGCGAAAAAGCGAGCCGCTGGTGTCCAAAGCGCGCCTGAAAGCGCCGCCGCTGGTGTGGACGGCCGACGCCTTAGACAAGAGTGCTTCGACCAACGCTGAGCGATGGCTTAACATCTTCCTCCGCAAATTGCGCCTGGCTTCCAAAGCGCACCTGTAAGGTGCGCCAATGCGGTTGACTTCGACAAACGTCCTTCGCCCAATGTTTCCGCGCGCCGAGAATTTCGGCGCCTGAAGTGTTGCCTGTGGAAAGTTACCTCTGGCCTCTGCAGCGGCCCTCGGTGTCTGCATCATGCTGGACGGCCGACGGCCGACGCGATTGACACACGTCTTGCGACCACCAAAGCTGTTCGTAGGCCGAATTGCCTGGCCTCTGAAGCGCACACGGACGGCGAACGCGGTTGACAGATTGATGGCTGCAGCTCCTCCTGCTTCTATTTACCAATCCTGTGAAACAAGGGGCCTGCCCGATGAATAGCGTGCAGTCAATCATGAATAGCGCGCATAATTACCTTGCCTTGTTCTTTGCGAGGTCAGCTCAGCGTCCACGCTATGACCGGGTGAACTCTTCGAGGGTGCTCCCATGTTTTACTGGATTTCTTGGGCTCTTGAGAAGTTCGAAGCCAGGTCTTGCCCACAGCTCCTCAGGGAGCCTTTCTGTTTCTTTCTATGTTTAGTTTGAGGCCCCGGCCTTTTGGCGGTTTCCTTCCGAGTGCTGCGGGGTCCCGCGGGTGTTCTACAAAAAAAGCTGTCAAAAAGGACCCTGCAGCAGCAGCTTATTCCAAGTGTGCGTTGCAGGAGCTTTGTCTTTCCCATGTGTGCACGTATGCTCTCGCATCCTTGGTGATCTCGGTTGCCCTTCTGGTCACGGGTGTGACACTCGTCCGCGTCACTCAGCATTCCCTGGGAGAGTAAACAATCACCTGTGCATCAGCCAGCTCCGAGCTGGCACGCGTGCTGTGCAAAGCATTGTGAGGCCCGTCCTTATCCACCTCCTGGAGCTGATGAAACCTTGCACACATGATGTTTGGACTCAATGCTTAAAGTTCAGGGTATCCCTGGGAGGTGATTGCAAGGGATGGCCAAGGGAAGGCAACTTTCCTACGGGCTTCCCTTGAGAGCAAACCACGCCTTCGACTTCTCCAAGTCATCTTTGGGAATTCGCAGCTTTGATTGGTACGTGTTTGGGCGAAGCGATGTTCGGCTTCTTGGACGTCCTTCATCTAATTACAAAACGCAGATACATGCACAGCAGGGTGAAACCAGATGGCACAACTCCCCGTCACAGGATGACTGAACCGAGGCTGCTAAGATTGTTGGAGGGGGGTAGAAACATGAAGAAATCGCGCCGTCCACTTTCACCCAGCTGCAATTATATGGGCGACTCTTTTGTTGAGGGTACTCTTTTCTTGGCGGTTTTAAATGGAAATCCACCATTTTGAGGGATCCCCCTTTAAAAAAAATACCCATATTGTCTGCAGCATTCCCCCCCTCTCCCGGCCCGTGTTCTGGCAGGTGGCGGGTGAAAGGAGGCCGTTGGGCCAGCCGCAGTATCCTCAAAGCTCCGTGAATGACTCAGAGACCCCCAGGGAGCTTTGGAGGGCTGTGGTTGAAATGACTGTGATGCCCCCCAGAAAGGAGATGATTCCAACTTGTATCACAGAAGTTGGATACACCCCGAGTGATCCCGCAACCCTGTTTTGGAGGGAGCAAGTCGGGGAGTGGCTTCCGAGTTGGGTTCAAGTTCCCAAACTGCAAACTTGATCGACTCTTGGAGAAGCATAGGACCCTTAGATCTTTCAATCCAATGTCAGGCAAGCCAGTTCGGTCTTGCGATAAACCCTTTTTGGTTTGGGGGTCCCAAACTGGTTGTCACCTCAAGCAGGGCCCCCGTTTCCTGGGGAGCCCCAGCTTAGTGATATCAAATAGGGCTGCCCTCGGTGACAAATTGCGCCACACTCGGTGGGCGCCACTCTGCGGCTGGTGCCCCGACACTGGGAGTGGGAAGGTGTAAGTGGCGGGTGCCCGATTTGCGGCAAATAGGATTCCAATGTGGAGGCTTGGGCAACTTGCCAGATGGAATATGTGAAAACTAGGGGCCCTCCAAATAGCGGATGAAACGGTCTAACTTCCGTTTAAGTGCAAACCCACAAATGTTCTCTCGCTTTTTGCAGGTGTAGGTTACAGCCAGAGTTTCTTTTGGCTTCCAACCTGCGCTTCCAAAACCCAACCGATGTCGGGGTTTTGTGTAATCCCAGATTTGTCATGGTAAGTCATCTCAATGAGTGGACCCCAAGTCATCCGACCCCCATACAGCACTCAGCAACAGACATGGAAACGTGCCATGATTGTGGGGAGGGTAAACTACTGTGAATGTTCTTGTTTTTTCAAGCATTCAAAGTGAAGGGGGGGGAAATTCGAATCCTAATTGATTTCAACAACCTTTGGGTTCCTCTTTAACCGTGGCCAGGGTTGTCGGAACAGGGCTCCATTTGTTTGTCGCCCCCTGGTAGATTCAAACCCAGCTTCCCCTTTGGGAGGGCAATCACTGCTTTTGCGTCTACCTTGGGGCAATCAACAATTGGAAGCCTGCCTTTGAACATATTTTGCGGCCAACCCTTCTTGGGAAACCCTTCCTAGTGTTGGTTTAAATGGAAACCCAGAAGGGAACATCTTTTCTTTCTTGTTGTTCTTCTCTCTTTTGTTCCCCAACAGCTGAAAGCTTTGGGGTCTCAGCCCAGATAGGCTCCGGGGTGGTCCGGGGCGGCCCTGAGGTGAGGTTCCACCAGGGTTCCACCAGGGTGCCACCAGGGTTCCACCACCAGAGTTCCACCAGGGTTCCACCAGGGTTCCGAGGGTTTAACGATGTTCTCGAGGGCTGCGGGGTGGTGCAAGCACTAAAAAGAGCACCGAAAAGAGCACCGTATGCTGTTGGGGATATCACCTGAGTTTATTACTTTTTGGGAGGAGGGGGTGGTGTTGGCCTTTTGACACATCCCATATGTGATCCCAGAACCTAATGACTTACGCTACAGGCAAAAAGGAGGCCCCATGAAACCGTGCTCAAAAATTGGGCCAAGCCGAATCGAATTGTTTTTCGCTGATCCTAAGTGAAACAAGGGAGCCCTATAGTGGTTTTCCTCTCGGGTTCTTTTGAAACCATTGCAACAGGTGTACCCAAAAACTGGGCTCGTTGCTAAAAGCTTGACATTTAGCGGGTTACATGGAAACGCAACCAGCTAGAAACCAACTAGAAACCAACTAGAAACCAAAACCTAACAAACCGAACGTCTGAGAAACGCCAAGAAACGAACACATACCTAGGGTCCTCCAGTAGAGAGGTTAGAATAAGTTGGTACCAACTGATTTTCTGTAGTCTATTTTAGTAGGGGAACCAAGTCTCCCAACCAAAAAAAGAAATGGGTGAGAGGTCGGGCGCCAATTGCTGGGGGACCTAGCCAGCCTATCTCCTGACACGGTTTGCCTTGAATCGGTGCTCGCCTGGCACCGCGGTGTAGAAGAGCGGGAAGTTCTCCATGCCCCCCAAGACACGGTGCCCGTCCTGGATTGCTTTTTTTGCTGAGACATTTTTTCTTTCGGGGTTACGAAAAACACCAAAGGGAAACCACCGTGTTTTTTGAAGCAGACTAAGCTTTGGATATTGTGTTAGTTTGTGTTGTTTGTTTCCTGTGGAAAGGAAACCAAGTTGGAAGAAGGAACATTTAAGACACCATTTCCCCATCCCGAAAGGAAACTCGATTGATAGGGCCCCCAGTGGTGTTCCCAACGGCCCAACGGCGCCCTCCGGAAAGCGAAAAAGCGCGGACTCTTTGATTCCCTCAGAACAGCCGGAAGCTCCCCCAATTGGCCGATCCTGTAAATGGCTGTGGCGAATTCAAAAAGCCGGAATTCCAAAATGGGTTGCCCTGGTAACTGGAAACATGGAAAACCCGCGTAACCCCTCCTGTTTAATTTTGAGCCACACCCAAATAGAGCCAAGTCTTCCATTTCGGGGGCCTAGCTTCCATGCTAGTCGGGAGGCTCCATTCCATGTTTTGGCACGCTCAGAGTCCGATTGGCTGTTAGTTCCCTGCAAACGCCACTCGCTAAATTGATTGACTCCACTCGGAAGAGCTCAGTCACCTTGCGGCCCCTTCGAGGCCCCCAAAATGCGCTGTGGTTCAGTGCGTGAAACGGGGGCGTCAAGACCACTGGGCTCCCAACGCCGAAAAAGGCTAAGCTTGAAACCTTTAGATCTGCTCAAATGGCCGGCTGAAAAGGAAGGGGGCCCATCATTCTTTTCCAGTAAGGGTCTTCCAGTTCGACTTTCATGCGCGAATCAACCTGAATGACGTGTGCGGTGCGAATGTGAGCTACTAAGATTCGTCCCCTCACGAAAGAAACATTATCCGAAGCCCAGTGGCCATGGGAGAAAAAAAGGGCTCGCTTTTGAGTTTTCTTCTTTGAGAGGAACCCCTGCCCAAAAAAGGGATGGCCCAAAAAAAGACCAATTTTTCTAATTCCAATTAGAATGGTCTTCCCAAAAGGTGTAAAGTCCGGGAACTCAGGGAGTGAGGGATGGAAAACAGGATGCCACTGGGTGGTATCTCCAACAACCCCAGAAGCCTGGCGAATCGACTCTGAACCGAGGGAACGCGTGCTGGTGAACGTGTGGCAACTCACTAGTAGCAGGTGAACATCTATTCCTCAAAGCACGGTTGTGCCCTTCTTGGAAGACAACCCTCCTTCAGTTGGGCTTACAGGGATTTCTCATTTTTGAGACAAATCCATCTGGGTAGTGAAAAAGCCTTGACGCAAGGGAAGGTTCCCTTAGCAAGTGGGTGACACAAGCTCCTCTCAGCTGCATCAAGACATGCGCGGTTGCAAAAACCAGAGTTAAAAAAGCAAACAAGTTGTAAGCGGTTTGTCTTTGTTTAGAAGCCACTCAACCCAGAGGTGCTTTGGGTGCGTTGTACTCATACCGGTAATTAGCTGCTAAGCCACCAAGCACGCAAGCTGCCTGGCTCCTTCAGTGGGTTTAGCCATGACAGGCACACATCGATCTAAAGTCCCCATCACCAGAAACCCTGAACTTTGCCTAACGGGGGCGCACATGGGGTTTAGTCTTGGCCTCTTGAACAAAACCTCAAAGAAATCGTACCGAAAAAGAGAAGAAAAAAAAGGAAAAAAGGAAGAATTAAAGAAAAACACGTCCGAGCGCAGATGCTCAGGTTTATCCGACTTCATGGCTTGGGCGTGGCTTGGATGTCAGGGAGTGGGTTCCCATTCTACAAGAACCAGGGGTTCAAATCCCCAAACCAATGAGAAGCTACCTGACCTGCCTACTTGTTCATGTTCCCTGTCTTTTGATGACGTCGAAATCGAAGCCCCAGGGACCTGCCACTGGTAGGAGGCGTGGAAGCTGATGTTGGAGGCTGTGACCTCCCGGATGTTCAGTCAGGTATGTTGGTTATAACCAGTGGATCAGAGAGTCGGCTCCCCTGCAACCATGCATGCAACACATAACCTCAGAAGGTGATTAGCCTATGTGGGGTAGCAAGGGGGTAGTTCCCTGAGCAAGTGGGTGGAAATGGTTGGTTCCCTTCCCATGGGCATAGCTTGTAACCCACCTGACATATAGGTGGAACATTCGTATATGGAAAGGTGACCCACTCTTCGGATGGGCCGAAGCCACAACCCGGCCTTGGTCGATGATGTTTTTGGGTAGGGGCTTCGGCCCAGTTAGTAGCCTAGGTGGCTATGAATTCTAACAGGGAACCACCTCACAAGTTGCTCGACATGAATCCCCACCCAAATCTTGATTCCTTGTACTTCCCCCTGCAACCCGACTCATCATAGCCGCAAAGGAACCGTAATCAACCCCTGCAAAAACTGGAATCGCAGGGGTGGCTTCCCACGTGAGCCATGCTGAGGTGCTAACTTGGACCAGTGGCTGTGTCTATTGTTGGAGGTTACCCTGTCTAGCTCAACTTCTCGACACCACCGCGATTTTGATGGAGCCCCTCCTATTTTCATCAAGCAGTCTTGGTAGGCTGGACTTTGCCTTTACCACTGCAATGCTCTTCCCAAAAAGCATAAAGTCCAGGAACTCAGGAAGCCACTTGGGGTTTCTGCTACTCAAATAGACACCCCGCTTGGCGCTCGCGCGCTTCGCACCGGTTTGTCGTTGTTCGGTCGCGCGCGGGCTTCGTTTCGAGCTTTCCGCGCCTCGCCCAGGATCACCAGCGGGTTGTCGAGCTCAAAGAGCATGTCCTGCACCTCCTGGAGGAACCTGACGAGTTGTCAAAACCCAGACGCTTCCTTCCAACAGAAGGCACTAGTGGGAGGGCACCTGGAGAATCCTTTTCCGTTTTCAGGGACCTTCCTTCCACTAGGCATTTGGAGCCCACTTTTGGAGAATCCCTTTTCCCTAAGGGACCCTCTGGGTGCCATCGCGACGTGAGGGAAAAAACCATCCTTTGAAGGGGCTGGAAATCTAGAACATCGCCGAGATCCCCTGAAAAAAACCCTTAGAAATTCCACCCAAATCGAGCTGGGCACCGGAAAACTCTCCTTGAAAACGTCAACAAAGTTTCCAAAAATGCTTCAGGTCTTCAATGACCCCAAAAAAAATCATATAAGAGAGCCATCTCTGCTCAAGGGGCTGCTTGGTCATGTAGGGCGTGGTGTCAAGACGGATGGCGTCGAACTTGTACTCGTCCACCATGAAACTGACCCAGTCCTTCCTGAGTGCTCAGTTCGGTACTTGCCTCAGTGAACTCTTTGGGGGGCCCAAAATGGGGATCGGCAAGGAGAGGCCGCTGCGAGTGGTGTCTCATAACTAGACATGCTGCCAATGGAGAATGGGCAACGAGTCAAACTCGGTGTTCCTTTCAAGTCACCTCCTGGCAAGATCACATCAGGAACTCCTCTTGGCAAGCAGAACTTCCTGACTGCACTCAACAAGTGCAAAAGACATTGGGGGTCAAGCAAAGGTTTGGGGCTTTTAAGGGCTGGCATTTTGGGCCGCCGAGGAAAGGTGCAAGGGGTCCACGGTTCTGCATGGCAAGCCATGCTGCTCGATGACCTCGAGTTCCAAGCAAAAACACCGACCTTTTGGTTTGCCCCCGGTTTGGATGGCTCCCGAAAGGTTCACTCCACCATATCGGTCTACACTGGATCAAACACTCCTGCACCAGGTGGTTCAACCATTCATGGGGGGTTCATCCAATGGGTGCAGGACTTTGTCCAACAGGACCCTTTGGGGTCAGTTTCCACCGTGCCGGCCGGGGCAGTTCTGGGGCTGTCCAGAAACAACCCTCCGATTGGGGACAGGCAAAAGGTGCGAGGGCTGGGTGCTTTTTGTTCAAGCAACGTCGCCTTTGAAGGGAAACCGAAAGACGGTGATCAAGCAACCTCGGTGAGCAACTCGGCCAAGGATGTTGTGGCCTTTTGGAAAAGTCGACGGGCTTCCCTGGTAAATGGGGCACAAACCCCATCGATTTTTACGAAACAAATCGATCAAAAGGACACCTAGGCCTCTGCAACCCAAGGTACAGGGTCTGGCGCACAAAGTCCACCGATTGGTTCAGGTCCCCAAGGTCGTAGAACCAGCCCTGCTCCGAGACGCGCTCGTCGTATCCTCGCGGATGATGTTTTTTTTCGCCCCTGGCGCGCTAGGACGCAGCTTTCGGGGGGGCGGGGGGGGGGGGGGCAGAGCCTCTGAAACGAGGCTCGGCGCTCATTTGGGAGTATCTGAAGGCGTGTTCGTCCTTCCGTTCTACACTCACCAATAAGCACAACAGTCGGAAGGGACATGTTTTGTCTTGTGGCAACTGGGACAATCCAAGACCTCAATGAGCGCATTTCGCCCACCGAACCCGGGAATTCTACCGCTCCGAGCCCTTGGGACAGCCCCAGCAGCTTCCCCACAAGCCCAGCGCTCCTTCACAAACATAGTTCCCGATGCTGCAGTACTTCAGATACGGCGGCCCATGCGCCCTATCCCCGAAGTAGTTCTCCTGCGCACCCACCAAAAGTGGGCTTGAGGTGACGCGCATGGCGCACGGGAGCAATTCAGTCACTGGCCAAAATCTCGTAGAAACAGATCAGGTCTCGCAACAAGGCTCCTATATTTTGGACAAGGCGCGCACTTGCTGGCTCACTTACCGAGGCTGTAAACCATGTTTGTGGCAATTGACCCTTTCTGCAATACCAAAGTGGGTCCCTATGACTCTTGTCAACTTGTGTCACCTTCCCAGGCTTAAATTAGGGACCGCCAGGTGCTTGCTTTCCTTCAGCGTCTGAAAACCATACTACGCGGAGGTCCCTCTCCAGTGTTTTGAGAAATACCTACGTGTCAGTGATCTACTGGCTGGACCTTTATCGTTGCAAGGGAACCCAAACGGGTGTGCGTCTTTTGGTTCCCTTTGAAAGCACCACGCCTAAGCCAAATGGCTAGCCTTCGAAAAACAAGGGATCCCACAGACCAAAAACTGACGGCTGCGGACAAACAAAAGAGTCACCCGGGTGGGTACCCCCGGCTCTGCCATGTTTGATTGAGAACTTCAAGTTACCAGCAGAAAAAGCACAAGGTTGTATTTAATAGAGTTGTCTGGCTGGCACTCACCAAAAAAACAAGAACATGTTTTTCCAGCTTCGAGTTGGCAACCACGCCCTGCCTTGGAGAAATTGTTGCCTGGGTAGTTGTTGCCTCAGATGGGCACCGATGAATCGCATTGGAAAATATCGAGTCGGGCTGCTTCCGGTGTCTCTACTGGGTAAGTCCAATCACTTTGAGGCTTGCGGGAAATATCGACCATGGCGTGGTGTCTTCGGATTAACCCGCCTTCAGATCAATGAGAAGTGATTTTCCCTTGTAGGGGAATGATCTGCTTTAGGGGGCTCTAAGCAAATACTGTCATCACCGTAGAAATCCAATTCTATTTGTGTTCACCCCGGCTAAACAAATCTGGCGAATGTCACTTAAATGGTGAAAGGGAACCGGCCCCTGATCAATCAACCAGGTTTAGTCAATTTGTTTTTTCTAAATTGATGCGCTTGCCAAAACGGGCTCCCCACATCTTTCCTTTGAAGGTGAGGGTGCCTTGATCTTCGAGTCAGGCACTCGATTGAATTGCCCACATGTAACTCTGGACCCATGCAGGGATTCCTATTTTGAGAAGTCACCAAATTCTCGGATCAAAGTGCGGGGATATGTATTACCAAACCTCGTGAGAAGAATCGGAATGGCCAACCTGTACTGGGCTTTTGGGATAAGCACAAGACCTCTTCGGCGTGAAGGGACCTATGCTGCATCGTGGCTCCAACCCACCCAAAACCCGATCCAACCGGTGTAGGCAAAACAAAAGAAGGTTTGCGCCGCACCCAAGGAACCATAAATCAGCAACAAACAAGCAGCACGCCACAGTGAAGACTCACAAACTTCGCATGGCCCGCCTGCCTCGGGCCGACTTTCCAAGCTGGCTCCACAAAAACAGAATCCAGTTGGGCAAAAATCCCGGGCAGCGAGTGGGTCGCGTCCCCTCCATTTGCTTAAGTCCCCTGGAAATATATATATATAATATATAATAGTGATAGATTCCCTTTAACACCAACAGGGGAAAGTAAAAAATACTCTTAACCAAATGGAAGGTCCGGGGGGCAGTAGGTCCCATTGTTGGTGCCGTCCGGCGTGCCGTCCGGGAAGAACTGGAGCGAGCACTGGGCGCCGGCCCCGATGGCCTGCGTGGGATACCTCAAGCAAAGAGATTTCTGCTCCCCTGCTAAAAGTTTAACTTTTAGTGGTTTGGGCGGGTCAAATGAGTCACAATCAAAACCCGGTATTAAAATGGTCGTAATCCCCAGAACCATGTAAAGAATTAAGAAAGCGGCCGCAACTATTTCTGGCTGGGACCGAATTTCTCGGTTGCTTTCTGCTCCCCTGCTAAAGGTGTTTAACCTTTAGTGGTTTAATGGGAAAACCCATTAGTTGGCAAAAAGTTAACATCCAAGCAAAAGGCACCAAGGAATGCGGGTGGGTCAAATCAGCTGGCAATCCAAGCCACCAATTAGAAGCTGATGAGGTCCAATGCGTTTCTTTGGATCTACCCTTGAGGCTTTTCTCCTACCGTCATAGGTATTTAGCCTAGGACATTACATTGGGCAGTTTGGAAAACAACATCCCATTTCGGCTACCTTTTGGTTGGAATTCAACTTAATGATTTTGGACTATTTGTTGCACCACTGTTCCTTTTAGGGGTAAGCTGAAACGCGAAACCAGGACACGGCCAGCCGCCCATCTTGTAGGTGTACTCGTCAAAAGTCTGGTTACTGATATTCAGCAGGTGGAAGTAAGAGGTCTCCTCATGTCGCATTCGCATTCGCGCAGGAAAAGGATCTCACCATGTCGATGAAAAGGAGCCCACTTGGAACCGCGCTGATGTGCGATGTCTCCCAAAACCCTCCTCAACCACTGGCCATCTTCCTCCAAACTGTTTTTTTCTTGACACACAAGGCATGGCATAGCTTCCCTCTTTGGCTACGGAAGCTCCAGGAACCAAGCCCACGGATTTCACCTTTTGCGCACGAGTGAAACTTTGGGGCTGAAGAAACGGCGCCAAAGTCCCGTTGCCGTAAGAAATGCGTTGCCTGTCAAACCACAAAGAGAGTTCCGGGGCCAACTGTGAGAGATCTGCTTTCCTGAGAAATTCGGTGGAGGATCCATCACATGCGTGCGTCAAGTGCACATATTTTGCGTGATGCCTAACGCAAACCAAATAGAAACCGAGGTCTAGGGAAGCCCCTGCTTTCTCCAAGGAAATGAGGGGGTTTGAGAAGAAGAGCTGCTATTACACCATGGGAGGTCGCGAACCCCAAACACGGACCAGGCAATTGTTGCCCTTAGGTCCCGGCAATGAAATCGCTCATTTCTCATTCCGGTCGCCCTCCCTTGGGTCCAAGTCGCGTTGAAGGGCTTTACTTTGGCGAGGTCTTGCGAGGAGTGCAAAGGCCGCACGTGGTTCAGCACAATGTCCTGGATGTAGCACATGCCTCAGGCAAAAATTTTGGTTGAGTTGGTGAAACTTTTCAGGTTGATGATTGAAAAGAAACCAAAAGGAAAACCCACGACATTGTCCCCTATTCTGACACATGCCTCAGTTATTCATGGCGACCCCGATTAATCAGCCCGGTAGATTGTTTCTGCCCAGTGAAGGACTGTGTTTTTGTTGGCCAGCCTTCCCAGAAATTGTGGTTTTTGGACATTGTCCAAGAAAGGTGCACGGTCAACACAACTGGTAGATGTAAGAGGGCGTGTCTCATTCAGTGGGATTTGGAACAAGACTTTCCTTGGAGAGTCCGCCCAGGATGGGTGGCGCGAAAGGAATTGGAGTCGAATAGGTCCTCAATTGTTGTCAATACACCAGCGAACCGAAAGAACGCGAAACCTTGTTGATTCGTGCACTTCTGGCCGAGGAATACGGGGTATGTCGTTTTATAGGGGAGCTTGGTCACTCTGGGCAAACATCCCCCTAATCATCCATACAAAGGAAGCAAACAAGGTTTGCGTTTGAACGAGCCGGGTGGCTTTCCCACACAAACCCCGAACGCAGCTGAAGATGGAAAAATCGCACACAGCCAGGTCAACACTACCCAGGTCCACAACAAATGACCAGGGTCAGACGTTTTCACACCTATACATTGCACCAGTCAAGGAGCAAACGCCATTCAGTTGGCCACAAGTGACTGCCATGTTGATCCAACAGGCAAATACATGCGGATGCCAAACCTACTTGAGGGGCAGGGTGCCCCAATCCGTCTTCCGAAAAGGAAATGGAGAACATGATGCTGGGGTCATACCCCTCCCAAATTCCATGGCTGGAGGGTGGTAAGGCATCCACACGGAAGTTTCTCAAAATGGTGGACCCCCCTTTTGGTTGGTATTTTAGGAGAAGCCCGAATTCACCCACACATGGATATGCTTCCATTTGCTTGAGCCCGCTGGAAAAATATAATAAAAATCCAGTGGTGATACCCTTTAAAACCAACAACGGACAAAAACAAATTCCAAAGAAAAAACCCGGTTGTTCAGCAAATGGAAGACAAATTCACTGTATTCTTGTTGGTTTCCCGCAAAAAGAAAAAGTCCGACCCATCAAGTGGTTTGGTCACGGCGCCGCGCTCGTGGGTGGCCCTCACGAGTTCCTTCCTGAGCGGAAGCCCAAGATTTTCCGATGTGGTGCATAAACGGCTGTGTCATTGATGCATGAACCAAAATGGCACCTTGGTAAATGGCTGTGGCTCAAAATTAAACAGGAGGGGCCAACCGCAGGTTTTGGTCCATGTTTCCACGAAACCCAGGGCAACCCATTTTGGTACCGTTTTTTTGAGCCACAGCCAAATGGAACCAAAGACTGAAACCTGCGTAGCCCCAGTTATACCCAAATCCAAGCATGTCCATGTGGACCGACAAAAGTCAAGCCCAAGTCTGTGAGCAGCGTCTCAAAACTAAACCCGACCTGGGTTTCCGGTTCCCCTTCCAAGACGAACCTCAAAACAGGTACTGCTGGATGTAGCGCAACCTCCCTTATAAGGGACTTTACCAACAACGTTACGGAAAAGGGAAAAGTGCCATCTACTTTCGCCCAGACCCCAGGCGCAGTAAATGTATGTCCCACGGTTGGGCGCCTCCATGTGAGGATGGCGCTACCAGGAGAAATCCAAAAAATGCTCACAGCAAAACCGAAAGATACAGAGAGAAACCAGAAACAAAGTACTTTGCCTCAACCGCTCCCCACCTCAGAAATTTGCTCGACAAAGCTAGGCTGCAAAAGGTCAGTTTGACTGAGTGCAGTGCCTCAAGCATGCTGCTGGCTGATGTCATGGCCAAGAAAATGGAAGCAGGCAGTGTTGACCCCTAGCCAATAGCAGCCTTGGCTGTTACTGTGATCCAGCTTCCTGTTTGGTGGGATTTCCTTCATCCAGGGCATCAGCAACGCTGGTTTCGAGGTTGCTGTCCTGGTCCAGTCTTGGCCTTGTTCTGGCCATTGGTCTGGCCATTGGGAGCGCGACATGACCGCTCCCCGAATGGCCGGACAACAAGCTGTGATAGGCCACACCTTGAGGCTCCCGCTGGCCGGACAGGCTGAAGCCTGAGGCTCCCGCAGCCAGGAGAACTGTGACAAACCGAACTGTGAGGCCTGTGACAGCTGTGCTGGTCCGGCCACTAGCTTACGCAGGTTTCGGACTGTCACGGCTGTCAGTTCCTGCCTGTCAAAGCTGTCTGTCGAACTAGAATCTGTTGCAGCGTGTGGACAGGCGGGTCGTGGATGGGTGAGTCGGATGTCACATGAAATTCGAGGCAAGTGTGGCATAAAACAGAAACTCTAAAGGAAAGCGAGAACGAAAGGAAGACCAGGCAGCCAAAGGAAGAGCAGTTGCAAATTAGGAAAAAGGGTGAAAATCAACACCGAAGTAGAGGAAAAACGAAAGGAAAACCAAAGCCAGTGGAAAATGAAGGCAACATGAACTGCAAACCAATGGAAAACCAATGGAACACCCAAGGAACTGCAAGGAAACAGCAAGGGGAGAAGGCAAGGGAAAACAAACAGCAAAGGCATTCGTGGAAAACCGGTCGTAGATTCCCATTGTTGTCCCAGCCGAGGTTCATGTCCTCCGCTGTGCCAAAGTTCGGCTCAATTTTGAACCAGTCCTCGAGATGCAACTTCGCTTGGCTGAACTTTTTTTGCAGTGCCCAGAAGGAAAGGTTAACCTTTTGGGACCACGGAAAATGGACCAAAAAGGGAAAGCTTTGGGCAAGAGAGCAACACCAAAAGCTCAGAAGGAGATCAACCTTTTTAAATATGTTCAAAACCTGAACCGGCTCAAAGAACTAACCTTTTTCCATTCGCTCAACAAGACCAGCCACGTCGAACCAAAAGGTCAAAAGGACGGCTCGGCAGCGGTTTGCGCACATCTGAGAGCTGATAAAACCTACACCGCATTGCGGCGGGGGCCGGAAAACCTGGGGGATCAGTTTCAGGGACGCACCAAGGACAGAACGAAAGAAGGAATCAGGAAGGAAAAAATGAAAGCTGCATTTGAACTCTAGTATAGCACATGTCGTTTTAGGGGACCCGTTGGGTTGTTCGGAGACCAGAAAGCCTGCCGCTCCAAACTGTTGGGGGCGGCCCATCTTTAAGATGCACTCTGTCAAGTTCAAGACGGCCAACGTTGCAATGCCACGCGGCTAAACCTCCATTTAACCCATATTCAGACCCTGGAGTGGTGGTCTTTGCCGCAGTCTTTTTGGCAAGGCGACTGTCCACTACAAACCTTCGCGTCAGGTTTTGATTCCTGGTTTGCGCGACTGGCTGAGCCCCGACAAGCATTCCCCTCGAGGAATTCAGCAAGACAGGCTTTCCAACCGCAAGGGAATATTGCTTATGATTTGTTGACATGTCATTGGCTTCTGGGCATCTTTCTCATTCTCTTACTTGTCTTTTCTATGGTGGCCATCCCTACCAACAAGTAAAAGGGTGTTCGACCAAGGCACACATGACATCCACAAATCATTCTCCCGTCGCCCTATGGCCCCAGATCGCCTGGGCCCAGTAGCCGTGGTAGCCATAACCGCTGTCGCCGTCGGGGCCATAAAAGTTCACGGGCACTGGGGTGACCCAAATGCAGTCCACGCCTAGGTCCTCAAGCGGGCCCGAGATTTATTTATTGCTATATGTCTGTACGCTTTGGTTTCTGTGGTTATGCACTTCTTCATTTGTATGTGTGTGTGAATTTGTGTGTGTATCTTTATTCATGGCCTTGCTTGTTCCACCTATTAGTTACCTAATGTATTTATCATATTTACCTAACTCAGCCGTGTAGGCGTTTGTTTACTCATCTGTTTATTTGGGTGTTTCCAATGCATTTGTGCTACGTATTTGCTTACGTACTTAGATAGCTAGGTAGTCGGTCGCATATGTTATGTGTATGTATGTATGTAGGTGTGTATGTAGGATGTATGTATGTATGTATGTATGTATGAATGTATGTATGTATGTATGTATGTATGTATGTATGTGTGTATGTGTGTATGTGTGTATGTGTGTATGTGTGTATGACTATATGTATGTATGCATGCATGCATGTATGTATGTACGTGTGTGTATGTGTGTGTATGTACATCTATGTATATGTATGCATTTGTCTGCATACATATAGCTATGCATAGATATATGTGTATGTATGTATGTATGTACGTATGAATGTACGTATATATATGTATATCTATGTATATGTGTGTATATGTATGTATATGTATGTATATGTGTGTATATGTATGTATATGTATGTATATGCATGTATACGTATGTATATGTATGTACATGTATGTATATGTATGTAATATGTATGTATTTGTATGTATATGTATGTATATGTATGTATATGTATGTATATGTATGTATGTATATGTATGTATGTATGTATGTATATGTATGTAGGTATATGTATGTATATGTATGTATATGTATGTATATGTATGTATATGTATGTATATGTATGTATATGTATGTATATGTATGTATATGTATGTATATGTATGTATATGTATGTATATGTATGTATATGTATGTATATGTATGTATATGTATGTATATGTATGTATATGTATGTATATGTATGTATATGTATGTATATGTATGTATATGTATGTATATGTATGTATATGTTTGTGTATGTGTATGTATGTATATGTAGGTATACGTATATGCATCTACATGTGTGTGTATGTGTGTAGGGGTGTATGTGTGTATGTGTGTATGTGTGTATGTGTGTATGTGTGTATGTGTGTGTATGTTTGTATGTGTGTATGTGTGTATGTGTGTATGTTTGTATGTGTGTATGTGTGTATGTTTGTATGTGTGTATGTGTGTATGTGTGTATGTGTGTATGTGTGTATGTGTGTATGTGTGTATGTCTGTATGTATGTATGGATGTATGGATGTATGTATGTGTGTATGTGTGTATGTATGCATGCACGTATGGATGTATGGAGGTATGCATGCATGCATGTATGTATGCATGCATGTATGGATGTATGGAGGTATGTATGCATGCATGCATGTATGCATGTATGCATGCATGCATGTATGCATGTACGCATATATGCATGTATGCATGTAAGCATGTAAGCATGTATGCAGGTATGAATGTATGCATCATACATACATGCACGCATGCACGCATGCACGTATGCATGTATGCATGTATGCATGTACGCATGTATGCACGTAGGTATGTCTTCATTTAAACTTATTTGCTTGTTCAGAAACTTTTGTTTATGTAATTATGTATGCATGTGTTGGTTTATTTATGCTTTTATTGTTTCATGTATTGTGTGTGTGTATTATCTTGGTTAGTTGGTTGTTTGTGTTTCATTGATTGTTTCCTTGCTGTATCAATTTATTTGGTTTTGTATTAATGTATTTGTTCATTCACATACAGATTTTCATTCCCAACGATACCAGTAGTTGTGCTCCATGAAAGGAAGCGTCACCATCGAGGTCACACCCACACCCCGATGAGATGGTCTCAAATAGGATTTGGACCGCTCAACATGGCGCAGGGGGGGGTGCGGTTTCCTTTTGCTTCCCTCGAAAAGAGAAAAACAACTTAGTGAGTTCTGTGACTTCGACTGTGAGGCCACACCCCACAGCGAAAGGGAGAGGGAGGGAGTCTCCTGGTGGCCTTGAAAGGTCAACAGTGCAGTCAACCGGGCGATGGAGATTGCGGCCCAAGGACGTTCGTCTTTTTGTCTGGCTTCTTTCTGTTGGTTTCACTTGGAAACTATCCAAGAAGTAACTCTTCACAAGGAGGTTCCCATAATCCACAAACAAAGTTGGCTTGACGCCCAAACAATTCCCTCACAGGCTTGCTCGCAAGCAAAAGATAGGTGTGGAGATCCCTCCCAAATGTAGCTCACGCAACGTCCCTAGGTCAAGCTTCAAGTGCCAAGAAGAACAATAGCCACCAACCTTTGGGCCAGATTGGATTCGAAACAAGGGGGCCCTTTGGTGGATTTGTTTTGGTGACCACCAACCACTTGTTTGAGGTATGAAACCTCCTAGCCAAAGAAGCTCCTGGATGTCTTCCCGCTGGACACCATTAAGACCCCGAACCAATGTCTTTTTTGACGTCTTCCCAGCTTAAAAAAAGAAAAAAGAAAAAATGTCCCAATGAATGACCAATCAGATCCTGGATGTAGTCCAAGTGCGCGGTGATGCCCTTCAAGGTGCCGTTGCCTCGGAAAAAAATCATCCGTCGCAACGTCTGGGCAAAGACGTCGGATCGCAGCCACCCGCGGGCCTTTGGTCTAAGATGGTTGTTACGCTTTCGTGTGAAGCCTTTTGTTTAAGAAACCATGTTCCAGAGTTTGGGGCTTTCGTGGGAAACTGGAAGCAACTGAAGTGGCCATTCAGTGAGCCGCACAAACCAACCTGGGGCACGCCAACTTTTTAAGGGTGTGTTTCTCTCAATTTCTCATTGAGACCCTGCGGCGCCATCTCTCAGATTCACCAACTCAACACAAGAGATTATGAAGAAAAGGTATGGGATGCAACGCCCCTTTTGAGGTTGCTTGCCCAAAGAATTGCCCAAAGGGGATGCCAAGCCTTGAAGACCCTTCAGTCAGAACCGATCCACTTGACCAATTGGACTCAGCTTCCCTCTATTGGTGGTTTGGATTGGTGGTTTGGTTAAGGAAAGGTTTCTCATCTGCCCTCTGCAAAAGTCAGGGGTTCAAATTCCCAAACCACAAATCCAAGCCACCAATTAGCGGTTACCTGATGGACAGTCGTTCCCCAAACAAAAGCGATTGCTTCACCGACCCGATCCACTCAACTTGGACTTGTCGGGCTAGATGTCAGTGCTCCCTGCCTTGTGGTCTTGGTCAAAAGCGAGACTGTTTGCCAATTGTGGGTATCTGGTTTGCAAACAAGTAATGTTGACCCAGGATTAATAAACCCGTCCCACTATTCCCTCCAAAAGTGATGAATCCCCACTAAAGGCGGACACCCCCTATGAATCAACCAGGGGTTTATCAATCCGGGGTTAACATTACGTGGCGGAGTTGGCCGAAACCGAGATTTGGCCGAGAGAAGCCCAGGCGCTGACGGCTGACGGCAGAAAGCACTGAATGGCAACAAAAGGGTTAGCCCAGTGACCCTGGTAGCCAAAAAGCGAAACAAACCTCTGGGATTGTTGTTGCGTGTGGGGAACCCTTTGGATTCCCTTTGAGTTCCCTTCTCTTCACTATACCGCCCTTGTTTGATTTTCCAATCGAGGTGCACCAAATACTCCCGGAACACGCGGAATCGTCTCCGTCGCTCAGCCCGCCCTCCCGGGCAAAGCGGTCCTCGCTGCAAGTCAGCGGGAATCGGACGCCATGTCGTAAGCGGCTACACTTCACAATCTGGCCGCTACGTCCGCTACAAATCCCTAATTCAAATCCAAAAGCGTTTTTGTTGGCTAAAATAATTCTTTCGGCCATGATGAGATCTGGGCCACAAGCGAAACAAATTCGCACGCTGGGCTTTGGTCATTTTTCAAGCTTTGTTTCACTAGCTGAGAATCTCTGTCCCACTGACGACACCCAAAAACACCCCTGGAATCATGGAACACACATGGGGACACCTGTTTGGATTAGACGCCTCCGTCTGATGGGTTCTAACAAATGCGTTCCTTGCGGGTGCTGCAGGATTGCCCCTTGGTGCAAGCTGGATTAGGCCCCGGTTGAACGGGCCCCTGGTAAAGAATCAAAGCCTATGGCTCTATACCAAAAACAGAAAAGGAACCCAACCTTTTCGGGGTTCCCTACTGTGGTGGACGAAATCCTGCAACACTTTGAAACCATAACAAACCAGTGTTTGTTGGTATTTACAGGGGAAGCATCACCCCCGGGGTTTTTTAGGTGGTGCAGGATTTCGTCCATCCACAGTATGTTGAGAAACATCTAAGTCTACATTTGACACGCACAAACACAGACTGCCATACAAATGGGTATGTGTCAAACAAACTAGATGGCGTTCCTTCGGTATCCCGTTGAATCAGCCCCAAAAATGGAACCCTCTAACAAACGTTGATCTTGTTTTTGTTCAATGAAGAAACAAACTTCCCGGATTTCCCGAAATTTCTGGAATAGTTCCGGCAAATCAAGAGG